TTTTTAGGACTTGAGTCTTAAACAACTAAGTAAAAAAGAAATATATTTCTATATGGACATGAAATAAAGCTGTAGAGTAAACCCATTGTCTTCCTTTCCTTTGTAAAGTTTTCTGTTTTGAGACTGGCAATAGTTTGGTCAGAAGAAGACATTCTAATTCATGATTCTGTGGGAAAAAAAAAGGAAATATAAAGATTCTTCTCCTAATTCAGTCTTCCACCACCTGCAGGGAGTCCTGTTCTTAAAAAGTACTTCACAAAAGAAGACCGTGTTTTCAAAACAAACTAGATTTTAAGAAACCTTACGTTCGAATGTAAATGAAAAAGCAGACGAGACATTTTCTAACCTTAAAGCATACTAAAAGGTTTACTTTTTCAAGAATCCCAATGTATGGCAAATTTGAATTCTATTTCATTAAACCAAGGTGTGTAACTATCTATTGTAATGAGTGAGCAAAACTGTCAGGTGCCTGTGTACTCCTGACATTCCACATCTGAGTTTTAAGGACTATATAATATGAGGACCTCAATTGTAAAATTGCAAAAGCTTCCTCTTACATCTTTAAACTAACATACTTTGTAAAGGAGATCTTATCAGTATGGAAAATTCTAAGATTGTGTGTATTTCATAGATATGTATTTGTATTTTATCTCAAACCATTTTGTGGCTGTTGGAGAATGTATTTTTTATGGTATATTCAAACCAGAATTTTGTCATTCTGTTTTATATTTCTCTTCCAAAACACTATTTCTTCTATGTTGAATCTCTAATATATATTTATGTGCTCATACATAAATGTAGATATATATTTGAACACACAGACACACACACACACACACATACACACACATAGGCTTAAGATAACTATTTTACTTGTGCCTCTTAAAATTACAGGATTTTAAAATGGCAATATGTTCATTTAAGTTCACATCATATGTACAGTTCTTTTTTTGGTTTAGTGTTTAGAGAATTCTTGATAATTTAGACTCTTCCACAATGAAAAGTAAAGCATTCTGTCACAAAAGCAGGGAGGATGAGACACAAGGTCAAAGGGCATTTTAGAAACAAACAGCTGGACCAGTTTATTTAAACAGATAGAGGGATGGGGGAACTGACCTCAGTTTGACTTATAGTGGGAGGAGCAAGAATGTCATTTTATTACTTTGCCCAGAAGGAAAATGTTTTTGTATCTGAATTCACCCTGAAGCCATCTAAACATGGCTCTGCTGTGTGTAGCATAATTCCAAAGAGGATGTATAAAATAGTCTGGGATAATGATAAAATACACTAAAGGGAATCAAGTGTGGAGACAGTTTAAGATTGAAAAGATGATGTTGTTTTAAAAAATAAAATATTTTGCTGCTTACTTAGTTGTTTTCACATAGATGTCCATCATGACCCCAAATAATAAGTTGTTCATATAAGTGTAGTAATTGTAATTCAGTAACGTTCTGAGAGATTACTACATCCTGTGTGTACTAATGATATTTCATTATATTGAATTTTTTAAAGTAAATGTTTCACAAGAAGTAGACCTACTAATGTGGTCAAACGGCTCAGAAAAGGTGATTAGGTTTTCTCAGGTTTTCAGTGTTTTTGTTTATGTTTTGTTTTTTAATTAAAGGTTTCCCCCTTTGATATCTACATATTCTAGGGGTAGATTACATCTGTGTTCTTAATAACAACAAACAGTTCTTGCCACCAAAAAAGAAACAAATAACATCTAGTACCTGTGGGCAGTTGGCTAAGAGGCTGTGGTATTTTTTGTGTGTATTTGCTTTCTACCTGGGGATCAGAGCAGGCCTGGAATGAATGTCCTTGGTGGTGTTCACTGCAAGGCTTCAGGAGGACATAGACAAAGATCAGCCTACAGAGCAGAGAGAGCAGAGAGCAGAAAGCAGAGAGTGACCCAGGTGTCGAATGAACTCAAGATCCTAGTAGGACTCACATTCTAGAAGGC